AGAATCACTTGTTAATCTTGCAAGAGATTTTAAAACAGATGACAGAAGCTGGGTTGCAATTCCATGGTTGAGTTGATGGGCTATCAATATATTTGTGGTATCTAGCCCCTTGTGCTCAAGATCAGTGTAAGAATGAATTTTTCTCTCTCCCACAAATTTACTTCAGTATTTTTATGAAAAACATTGTATCTGATGCAAGTCTTAAGAATAAACTCCAATAAATTACAAATTTTAAAGATTTAAATGCTGCTTCTGCAGTGCAGGCATTATGAATCAGATGCTCTTCACATTTCTTCTGTAGAGATAAGAGTAGTATTTTTCAAAAGAGAACAGATAAAGTATGCTAAGGTTGTCTTGAAACACAGCAAATTGCCTTCTCACCAGAGCTTTCCCTAAAATTAAACACTGACTTTATTTTGATGGAAAGTGTGTACAGACAAGAAGAAAAAGTAGGCATTATTTGCAGGGGGAAAAAACCCCAAACCTTAAATATTATAAATCTCTGAGGATGTGTTTTGAAGCTTTATATATACCATTATTATATGTCCTGCAGGCTCTTCTTCTTCTATTGGCTGTTAATGACAAGCTCCCACTTGCAGATTTGGGTACGTGCTTTCAACTGACTCGCATTATTTGCAGCTTGGCTCTTCTGTATTTTACACAATTCAGGCTTGTAAACAGCAAATTTCCTGATGACTTTAGAGAGTTTAAAACCCCAACATAAAAGGCATACTCTCAGGCATGATTCCTCATATTTTTCCAAATAGACAGGATTGCACTTGTAGATACGATTCCTGGGAAAGGAGCCCATTTCATGGGTTAGCTGTAAACATCCTGGTTGTTAAACTCAAAAGTCCAAGTCCAGCCTCCTTCTGTAGGATGTGCAAGGCCACTGATGCTCATGAGTGGAGTGAGCCCTGATTTTACTTGTGTGATTTGGTGGGTGTAGCTACATCTCCCAGGCAGCAGTACCTGGATGCCCCTCTCTCCTAAAGCTCTGGCAGAGGTTCTCCTGTAGTGAGGCATCAAAAATTACATTTTTCTCTAAGCAAATGGGTGGCTCTAGAACCTCAAAGGCCCTGCTGAAGCTCAAAGCTAGACATGGTATAGAATCATGAAGCTGGAAAAGACCTCTAAGATCATCAAGCTCGTTACAGGCCACTTCATCTCCAGTGTCAGCAGTGTCAGCAGTTCTTCAGGTGAGATCTTTGCCACACCAACCAAGCCCAACCCCTTTCAGTGTACCCCATCTAAACAAGCTCTTCCTTTCCCTGATGGTGAAGTAACACTTTTTATTGATCCGAGCCTAAATTGAGTTTTTTTGATCACCCTGTTCCAGCTGGAGCTGCACCAGTTTTTGTGCCTTGGCACTACAGCTCAGTCAAGGCAGTGTGCTCCAGATCCCTGAGGTGCTGAGCTGCCTGAGTTGCATTTTCCTCAAGACCCACCTGAATCCAGGATCCAGCAGCCTGGGATGAGTTTTCCCAAACTGACTGATGAGGGAGGATGTTTATATGGCAGCAGCTTCACAAACGATGATGATGGGGAAACAAGCAAGTTGCACGAGTCATTAGCAGAACATTAGCACAACAGACAATTTTCCGAGAGACTAACTCCAGCACTTGGGCTGGAGACATGGAAATGTTTCTGTGGAGAGCTGGGGAGGTACTGCAGATCAGCGTGTGCTGCTGGCTCACAGCAAGTGCAAAATAAATTGCTTGTCTTAGCCCGAGGTAATTTTCTTCCTGTATCTGATCCCTCAAACTGTTACCTAGGCACATTCAGTATATATGGCTGCCAACCCAAATCTGCGCTAATGCTACCTGCAGTATAAAAGAAATTCTGCAAGAATGAACCACTTAACTGTGGAGAGGGAAGATTTTCTGTGGTTGCTGTTTCAAAGCAGATGCACAAATGTTCTTGTGCAAACCATATTGTTTCTTTTTTCAGCAAATTCTTAATAGTGACCGTTCATACAGTTGTCATGGAAGTGACAACAATTTGTCTCCCTATTGCTGAGAAAAAATGATTAATATCTATTTTTTCTAGTTAGCAAGTTAAGTATGAACACTTTTTATGAACAGTTTATTTCACAATTGTCCCTTCCTAGTCTCCTCTTACTGCAGTATGGACTTAAAGGTACTTTTTCTTTGGATCACCTGAATAACTACACAAGCTCTTACCAGCTACCAGCAAGGCTATGGCTGCCAGCGCACACCTCATTCCACCCCATGGGAATGCTGAAATGAAGTATCTTCTGCTCCAGAACCAAATATTCCCTCATTAGGATTTCTTGGGCCAAATTATTCTCGTCGTTAAACAGTTTTTGCAATCCAGCAGGAAAGAGAAGCCTTACTCAGACCTCCACACTTTGTTTCCAGGGTGGGAAACACAGGAATGCTGCTCACATTTGCTGCCCACAAGGACCATGAACAAGCTGATGGCCCAGCCAGCTGCTGTGGGTTTGCTTCCTGAAAGAAATGTGTTTTCCTAATGCGCTGGGTACTGAGAGGTGCTGTGGAAAATGCGTTTATTCAGCCCCTCGTAAAATTATTCTCTCCATATTTCTCCCATAAAATTAACCATCATTTCTGTTGATGACAAGTCAACAGCAGTGGTTTGGTACACTGGAAAATACAGATTTAAAAAATTAAGAGGAAGGCAGAGAACACTAAAAGCTATCCTTTACCACCTCAGTATTTCCTGAAAGAAGGTATAATACCCTCCTACTGAAGCAGCTGCTTCTCACCAACGTGAGAGCTGCCGTGGTCGGGCACATCCTAGATGGATGTAACGGCAGAACAAAAGCAGCCACTGCTGTGTAGTTACACAAAAGCCTGCAGTGCCCTTTGTCAGTGCTAACAGCTGCCTCTTGAATTTTTATCCAAGCAATGGATGGGGTTTTATAGCATAAGCAGCAGCTGAAGCAAAAGTCCATGACCTGGCTTTTCCCTCATGCTGGGGGCTCTGGGCTGCTGTTCACCTAAGCTCAGCACTAAATCGGACTGGGCACATGGAGCTGATCAGAATTTACTTTTTGATTACGCTGAATTTTCCTTTATAGCTTCATCCAAGCTGCCCTGGTCTGGGGGAGATTGGAGACAGTAATGTGCAGGTCATTTCTAAAGAACATTTTCCAGTTAAAGAAAATTAAATCCATTTGCAGTAGAAAATAGCTAGAGAAGAGAGAGTGTCACTTGTAACTTGTAAAACCGTATGTCTACAGTGATCATAAACCCAGAATTCTATTCAATAAAACCAGAAATGCCTTCTTACCAAAGAGGAACAATAAATGGAATGTGCAAGTAAGAGGATATAAATATTCAACAGAAGGAGGATCGAGTTAACTTTTTTAAAAAATCTAGATGTGCTCTGACATATTTTAAAGGAAGCTTTGAAGTCTTTTTCAGGCAGTTTCATTTTTAAAGTAGTACATGATTGGTATAGCCACATCAGAGCTAAATCAGTGCTAAAACATCAGTAGGGCCCACTTCTTTCTCTTTATATACTTATATATACAGGACAGACTGTGAAAGCATGAATGTTAGGACCAATATTGCCTCCTGCAGCGCTACCTGGCTTGCTACTGTCCCCACTGGTGCTGCCCCTTTCCATGTCTCACAGAGCCAAGGCTGCAGAGCTGGACCAAGGACATCTGCCTGTGCCTAGGAACAGCAGCTCAGGGCACCTCCAGTATCTGTCTGAAACTGCTACTGGGGGAAGCCACTGCCTGCATTATTAACTGGCAAATGCTATCATTTGAAAAATCATTAATTAAATCAATTAAACTTTGGATGTCATCAGGATTCCTATAACTGTCTAGTTTGGGTCAGCTACAGATGGATTGTTATTGAGAGAAGCATCCATTATAGTCAGGCTAACTCAGTTCCTGCCAGCCTCCTCAACACTCTGTTCATATATTCCTTGCTATTATGGTGCCATTAGGATATCTTATTTTTTAATTTAGTTAATGTCTTATTCAATTCTTCCATCAGTTGAAGGTTATTTGAGAAGGAATGTTTGTTCTACATCTGTCTTATCCACCTCCAGCACAGTCTCCTCAGCTTTCATCCAAGGCTCAGCTCCCAGAGAAAAAATCTAACTCAACAGGATCAAGTGCTTTCTGGCTAACATTCCCCTTCCTCCAAAACAACACCACAGAACAGCAGCATGCCAAAATAAATCTGCTGGTTTGGTGTGTTCTACTTACAGCATTCTATCATAATCTCAAGTAAAAGACTCTAATATCATTATTTAATATGCTGATCAGGTTTTGAAGTAAAAGTGTTTTC